ATCCCTCCATCCTTCCTTAGAGTCAGAAATCTGAGTGTCGACTAGGTTCCAGGCCCCTCGATTTCCTTGATTCTACTTTTTCTCCATGTTGTCCTGGATCTCCTCTTTTCCTAAAGCCTATGAATTACAGTATGGATAGGAAAATGTAACTACAAAGAGCTGAGTACTTGCTCGCTGCCAGTAAGGATCATCTCACCTTAATTTATGATTTCTGTTTCCTACTGCAAAACAAACTGGTCAATGAAGACACAGCATGGTGTACTAAACAAGTATCAGCTTACTCAAACTCCATTTCCAGTTCACTCACAGAGTGACTATATGACTTCAGGGAAGTTAAAAATATGACCTCAGAGTTCTTAGCACATTATGAACCCTATAAGAAAAATGTTCATGTTTTTCATATAAAACTACCATGAATAAATAGCATCCTTGTTGTTTGTCTTTGATGAATGAAAGCCATTCATCAAAGTCATGTTACTACTGGATGTGGTGGTGCACAGCTTTGATCTCGGCACCCGGGAGACAGAAGCAGGTGGATCTCTCTGAGTTTAAGACCAGCCTGGTCTACAAAGCGAGTTCCAGGACAGTCAGAGCTGTTACACAGAGAAACCCTGTCTTGAAAAACAAAACAAAAGGACAAACAACCAACCATGTTACATTTTAGAAAATAGTGACACAGTATTTATTGAGCTTATTGCTACCCAGGCTAGTATGTGCTTCTTTATAAGTTCCTTTAAGATTTTATTACTAAAAATGTTTCAATGGGGGGGCTAGAGAGATGGCTCAGCAGGTAAGAGCACTGGCTGCTCTTCCGGAGGATGGGGTCGGGGGTGGGGGGTGGGGTGGGGTGGTCAATTCCCAACACTCACATGGCAGCTCATAACTGTCTGTAACTCCAGTTCCAGGCAAAACACCAATGCACATAAATTTTAAAAAAAATGTTTCAATGGATGGTATCTTTAAGGTTAAATAAAGATTCTTACCAATATGGTTTTTTCTTTATTTAAATACACAATGAGGATTTTTTTGAAAAAAAGGATCCAGGAATCTGGTATTTCTTACCAAGACAATTTGAAGCATCAACTTGTTCCTTCAAAAAATCAACACACATTTTCTTCACTGGTTCAATCTGGTACTGATTTGCTGCATCTAACAGAGACTGGACATTGTTGCTATTCACAGAAATTCTGTAAGTTAGAGGGAATATTAATTTCACACAATTTTATTACTTGAATATTACTGTAGAATATACTCTCCTATGACATATGATCCCTCCAACTCCTCCATCACAGTTTTTTGTTCTAAGGAATCAGGAGCAAACCATTTTGTTACAACAGTGCTTCTCTGTGTGTGGCAGACCCCAAGTTTACTTCCCCAAACAGAACGACTCTTCTTAACTCACCTGGCAGTGTACGCAAATTCCACCAGCTGTTCAATGATATCAGGTTCAGCGTCTTTGAGTTCTACTTCAAAGGACTTGGATTCAAGCATGTTAGCTGCAAGGAGAGCAGAAAGCGGCACCACCACAGGTTAATGAGGGACTGACCCGCTCCGGGTTCTGTGAATACAGAAGGCCCTGGGCCAGAGATCTCTGGAGGGAAGCACATGCAAAGGAACCCTCCGTGTTAGTGGCACCCCTTGAATTCACCTAAGAGCTTCCTCAAGTGCAAAGAGAAAGACATCCTTCAGGGTCACTCTCCCGTTTCCCTCCAAATCCTCAGAGGTAGGGAGGACACCAAAGACAAACCTGAGGCAGACCTGTTATTTCACGTGACTGAGATCACAGGACAAGAGACAGGTGTCATGAAGGATGCCTGTCATCTCAGCACTTGGCAGGCAGAGAGAGATCACTCAAGGGTCCAGACCCGCCCTGGCTGCGCGGCAAGCTGCTGTCTCAACATCAATAAACAAGCCGCAGAAACCAATACTAAGCAGTGTGATCAGGCCTTGGTTTCTGGGTCTTTCCACTGCAGTGTGCCGCATTTCCTCCCCTTCTTCCTCCTTCCCTCCAGCCCTTTCGAGGCACAAACTTGCGAGATATAATGCAAGAGATGCATCTATCTAGCCCAGGTGAAGAAAACAAACTCTGACATTCAGGCAGAAACTACCTTACCATCAAAGACCCTGACCCTCAGGGCTAAGGAAAGAACACTTACCCTTGGATCGGCATCACATCTGACCATTTTCATTCTCCTTACTGTTCTATAGTCTTAAGTTCTAAAGCACTTTAAAAACTAGAAAAGACATCTGGATTTAGACTCTACCCAGTTCTCAGAGGAAAGACAAACCCCAGACAACAGTTTCATCTGGAAATACCCACTTGTGAACATCAGGTTAAAGAAGTGACTCGCTGCAGCAAGGACCACACGGTGCGCGGGTATCTTCCTCTCCTGGACCATGAGGATCACGTCACACAATGTTCTCTAGTGAAAGAGAAAAGCACAGAGAAAGGAACTCACCGGCTTGGCTCAGCAACATTAAGTCTAACAAAGCAGGAACTGACCAAATGCTGTAATGCCTCTATCGATTTTCTCCTAAAATCCCTCTTTCCACACACACTTTAGAACATATTTAGCAAAGACTCACAGAGTTGCTGTCAGATAGTATCAAAATTGGGTACTATACCCTGAACAGCCAAGAGGAAAATCAATTAGTGTATCTGTCATTAAAGACAATTCCCCTGAGCTACGGGTGATGGCCTACAGCTGTTGAGAGGCTGAACCTAACAACTTTGAGGCCAGTCTGGGCTGCATAGGGGGATCCTATCTAGCTTTCACCCTCAAAAGAAAATAGTCTACCGATCCTTCAGGGAAGCCACAACTTTTTTCCTAGTATAAATTCTAAGGCCTTATTGTGAGCTTTTTTCAGGGGAGGAGGAGTAAATGATACGATGGCACACTCAAATCATATTCCTTAAACACTGTCGTCTATATTGACTTCACCAATGATTGTAAAATCCAGAGTATATGGCACATTAACCATAAAAGTAGCTGTCACAGTTCTGATGGAAACAGAAGGGATTCGGAACACAGAGTGGATGAACTGACTGCTCTGAAGTAATCTTTCCTTAGACAGCTCTTCTCCCAAGCACCCTGCTGGAAGAAGCTGGCGAGCAGCCATTTCTAATGCTAGGGTGCCAGAAGTGGTCCTAAAATAACTTCAGCTGCTGGAAAGAAAAAGGAATACTGAAAAAATGTCAAGGGTTGTCATCTTATAGATGACTTTGAAAGAAAAATATATTGGGGGAGCACCAAATAATACATTCACAATGAAGCTAAAGATAGTATATAGAGAGCGCACAGAAATGTGGTGCCTGACATTTGCAGCCAATGTCCTAACCACTGGGAGTGTGAGGCAAGCAACGCATTCTGAGTTTTTGTTTTTGTTTTTTTAAGTTTTAAATTTTATGTGTATGGTGTTTACTTGCAAGTATGTCTGTGTACCACATGACACCTGAGAGGTTCAGATGAGGGTGTCAATTCCCCGGGACTGGGATGATTTTAAGATGCCATTTGGGTCCTGGGAATTGAACCTGGGTCTTCTCCTGAGCCATCTTTCCAGCCCGATACTGAGTGGTTTTTAAATCTTGTCACAGATCTATAATAGTTTAGTAGCTTAGCAGATACAGTTTTTGCAAATTTTAAATATTTTACTAAACGACAAGTATTTTACTACTCTAGCTTTGGAGGACTTGACATTTCCTACTATGTATTTAGTTTGCTAGTGTGTGTGTGTGTGTGTGTGTGTGTGTGTGTGTGTGTGTGTGTGTGTGTGCGCGCGCACGCGCATGCAGGCACGTGGGTCAATGCCTTTGCAGACAGAGGCCAGAGAAAGTTAACAGGTGTCTTTCTTCTTTCCACCTAAATTTTTGAGACAGTCTCTCAGTGAACCTAAAGCTTGCTGTTTTCATCAGCCTGGCTAACCAGTGAGCTCTCAGGACTGACTCTCTGCTGGGGTGACAGACACATCTGGCCATGCCTGGCTTTTCTGTGGGTGCTGGAAATTTGAAATCAGGGAAAATGGCAGAGGTGGTTCCACAGAGGGCATGGACTGTGGCGCTGTTGAGCAGGGAACAGCTGCCCAAGAAGAACATTATCTGCAGGATCACAATTCAGATTCATTTCTTGCAGAGCATAAACTATTAGGAAACACTGAAAATGTAACTAAGATGGCTAAGAGGACCACTTGGTACAGTTCATAGCCATCTTTTTATAGTGAGCATTTCAAAGATGCTGAAAGAGAAGCAAAGGGTCAGTGCAAACGGAAGCTGTGGAGCCTCATGACAAAACTCAAATTAAGTCTAAAGGGACCCTGGACAAGGCTCTACCAATAAATATATACAACATCTGCTCTAAAATGGAGATGAAATCAACTTTCTCAAAAGGGTGGTGCTGCTCACTGCTAGTTTATAGGGGCACTACAGGATGGGGCTGGGTTTGATATTAATATTCAACAAGTTCAAAGAAGAAAAATGCCAAGCCTGTAAGTTTCCCAGATGGAACAAGAAAGACTATTAGAGGAGGGCATGAAGCACTGCTGACTACAGGGAGGGGAGAAAAGCTCAGACGGACCAAGACGGGATGGAATCATGGGGAGAGAGAAAGGGCAGCCGGATGCCAAAATCCCACCAAATGTAAACCTTTTTTGAAATGAAACTAGACACTGAGCAGTGCTTCATATTGTTGTAGACTATTATTTGAAGATGTGTTACATTTGTTTATCCTGTGGAACATTTGCTTGATGGTACAAAGATGTGTTGCATTTTTTTATGTTGCATTTGTTTAACACTGTAAAGCTGTGTTACTTTGCCTGTCTAAAACACCTGATGGTCTAATAAAGTGCTGAATGGCCAATAGTGAGGCAGGAGAAAGAATAGGTGGGGCTGGCAGGCAGAGAGGATATATAGAGGGAGAAATCTGGGAGGCAATAAAGAGAAAGAGCAAGAGAACAAGGAGAGGAAGACTTCAGGGGCCAGCCATCCAGCTACACAGCAAGACACGGAGTAAGAAGGAAAGAAAAGGTGTACAGGAATAGAGAAAGATAAAAGCCCCAAGGCCAAAGATAGGATAATTTAAATTAAGAAAACCTGGCAAGAAATAAGCCAAGCTAAGGCCAGACATTTATAATTAAGAATAAGCCTCTGTGTGATTTATTTGAGAGCTGGGTGGTGGGCCCCCCTAAAGAGCAGAAACAACCAACAATATCGTATCTAATGACATCAGCAACAACAAAAACCTGGCCTCCAAACTAAAATTACAGATCTTGTTAGTGTTAGAAGGTGTGGCGTTTGAATGAGGATGCTCACCATAGCTTATATACTTGAATGTTTGTTTCCCAGTTAGTGAGTGTTTAGGAAGGATTAGGAGGTGTGTCCTTGTTGGAGAAGGTGTGTCACTGGGGTGGGCTTTGAGGTTTCAAAAGCCCACCCCAGGCCCAGGCTCCCTCTTCTCTGCCCCCTGACTGTGGAAGAGGACCGTAAGCTCTCACCTCCAGCTCCAGTGCCATGTCTGCTTGTCACCATGTTCCCTGACAGGACGATTATGGACTAACCCTCTGAAACTGCAAGCAAGCCCCTAACTACTGCTTTCTTTATAAGCTGCCTTGGTTATGATGTCTCATCACAGACACAGAAGAGTGGCTAAGACATAAGGGAAAGTTAAAACTGAAGGAGTTAAAACTTGTTTACTTGATCTCAAGTTCTGAGAAATATAATCCCCTATAAATCTTTTGAAATCTCAAGTGTTTTATTAGAATGTAGAATACTAAGAATTGTTTGGGTTTTTTGTTGTTGTTGTTTTGTTTTTTTCTTTCTACCTCGTATTGTAAACTAAAAGGCTTTTAAAAAAGTTTGACTTGGGGGCTAGAGATGTTTCAGTGGTTAAGAACACTTGCTGCTCCTACAGAGAACCCAAGTTCAGTTGCTAGTATTTAACTTTAGGATGCTCACAACCTCTTGTAACCCTTGTAAGCAAATAAACTTCCATTTTATAAAACAGAGTTTATGGTAGTGTTTTACCACGGCAGAAAGCAGACTAAAAATAGTGACTCAGACTAAATTCTCACTAATACAATTTCTGTAAGGCTTAGTTTCTTCTTTCATCGTTATTCTAACATTTCATCTGGCCTATGCTATCCTCAGCTGTGATATGGGTTATGCTTGAAAAATAAATTGCTGCCTTAGTTACTGTTCTATCGCTGTGAAGAGACACTATGACCAAGGCAACTTACAGAAGAAAGCATTTATTGGGAGCTTGCCTACAGTTTCAGAGGATTACTCTTTTAGTTCTTTTTTTAACATGACAGCAGACAGGAAGCGGGTGAGAGCTTACATCCTGATCCACAGGCAGGCAGACAGACAGACAGAGAGATGGGGCCTGGTGTGGGCTTTTAAACCTTCAAAGCCCACCCCCATTGACATACCTCCTCCAACAAGGTCACCCCCATTCTAACAAAGCCATACTTCTTAATCCTTTCCAAATACTTCCAGTAACTGGGGACCCCAGCATTCAAACATATGAGTCTATGGGGACCTCTTTCAAACATTACACTCCCTGGCCCCAACAGGCTTGTAGCCATATCATAATGCAAAATGCATTCAGTCAAACTTCAAAAATCCTCATAGTTTTTCAGTCTTAACACTGCTTAAAAGTCCAAAATCTCTTCTGAGCTTCAAGGCAATCTCTCAATTGTAACCCCCAGTAAAATAAAGCAGAGCACACACTTCCACTATACAATGGCACAGAATATACACCACAATTCCACAAGGAAAGAAAGGGGGCAAAGGAAGAAACACTGGATCAAAGCAAGATGGAAACCAGAAGGGCAAACTTCCAACCCTGTGTCTCTAGGTCTAAAGCCAAAAGGTTTAGTGGACGCCTTTTCCCTTCCAACTTTGCTGACTGTAGCACACTTCTCTCTTTGGGCTCGTTCCA